TTTTTTAATATAATGATCATTTCATCAAGTTTTTGAAGGAAATTGATTCTTTGTTAAGTGATTATATTTAAAAATAAAAAATGGAAAGGCTCATCTCTCTCATTAGTATATTATAGTATTCTTTAGCCATATACATGCACCTTGGGTCAGGCAGTGTTTAAATTTGACAGTTTATTGGCCTGATAATGTCACTGCACTGTGCAAAGGGTGGAGCTGAAAAGACTTAAGAGCAAGCGTGCCCAAAAGCTAGAACCAGGGCTCAAGTCCTGCAGGAACTCGTGGGAATGGAATTCCTGCACTTTTTCCACAGCAGGAACGCCATTCCTGTTAGTAGTCCTGCAGGACCCGCCCTTTGCCGCACTGCCTGCTCCTGCTCTGAGTGCTTGGTCCCCACTCTGTTATATGGAGTCGCCCGGGCTAGGGCCCCACAATCTGCATCGTACATATGGCCCATGTTCACAGGGGAGCGGCGCAACTGGCGAACATGGCGAGAGTAAGGAATACAGGCAGCAGGGCGGCCAGGGAGAGGTCTCTGGGATGGGAACTCAGTCAGGTACAGCATTCCCCGAGCTGAGCGGGCAGGGCTGGACCCCAGGCACCAAGCAAGGAGCAGAGGACCCTGCATACTGGGCACACACCGGACATAGAGCGAGACCCTGCATTGTGGGACCCACTGCCAGGGAGAGGGGACACAAACCAGGCACCAGGAAGATGTTTTATGAACTAATAAATAATAATACAGTCTCTGTATAGAATCATCCACTCACTGGGGGGCTGAGTGCAGTCTGTATTGAGGGGCTGTGAGTAGGGTGCTGAGTGCACTCTGACTGGGAGGGGGCAGTGAGTGGGAGCTGAGTGCACACTGATAGAATGAGCCTGTACTCTGTTGTACTCTCTCTGTTGGCACTATATACCAAGGGAAGCCAGTCTTATTCACACACCTTGCTAAGACACTGTGCCCAAGGCCAGGGGAGCAGCCTCATTCACACATCTTACTAATCACACTGTGCTTCACAGGCTAAGGGGTGAAATCTTGTGTTATTCTCATTTTTAGCAAAGAGTTCCCTTATGACAGGGGATGACAATCTAAATTGTACAGTTTACTAAACACACATCTTATTTATATACTGTACCCCCACTCCAAGGGATGCAGTCTCATTCACTCACCTTATTAACATACAGTGCTCGCAACGACAGCCAATGCCAGTCTCATTCACATGCTTTACAAGCATACTGTACCCTGGGCGTACCAATCCCATTCACATACTAACAAGCTGTGCCCCATGCCAGGTGATAAAGCTTCAATCACACAACTAACAAACTGTGCACACTCATTGACAATTATACCAGTCTCTAAAGTTGCCCACTCAGAGTTCATTCCCTGTCAGTGTATGTTACACTCAATCTATTCTCTCAGACTTTCCCTCTTCACTTTCACTGCCTGTCAGTCTTACTCTGTCCTCTGTCACTGCCCTGCTTGGTTGAGTTCCCACACTTTTTCCACCAGGACTTGACCCCTGGGTAGAACCCAAGATGTTGTAGAACAACAACTCCCACAATACTTTGCATGCCTTTGTAATGCCTTTAGAATGGCAAAGCATAATGGAAACTGTAGTTTTAGAACATCTTGGGATCTACTTTTTGGGCACCCCTACCATAGAGTAACTGTCAGTTTTCAAACACTGTCTGACTCAAGGTGTATGTATATGTCATACTAAAGATAGGGATTATTTTGTTTTCTCATGTTATGTAAATTTCATTTAACACAGTCTATTCCTTAAAATTTGATGAAAGGATCATTACATTAAAAACAGTTTTGAGGTAACAGTTGTCATTTAACTTAGGTTGACATAATCCATGTCAAAATCTATGCTAATTTCTGCTAATAACATTGTTGCTCTCAGTGAATTCCTGAATATTATCCCTTAATAACACTTCAAATACTTTCCCAGTCACAGTACTTAAGCTCACAAGAGAATAATTTCTAGGTAGAGATTTCAAACTTTTTTTTGAATATAAGAACTGCATCTCCTTTTTTCTAATCCTCTGGTATAATGTATGAAAAAAAAGAATCAAGAAAGATTGCAAACGGATTATTTCCACAATTAGCTTCCTAGCCCCATGGGTAAATACTCTGTGGCCCTGGGGCTTTCCTTACATTAACTTTCTTAAGTTACTGCAGCACCTTGTCATGAATCATCTAAACACAATGATTTTGCAATTTTTTAAAGCAATGATTTGCATACCACTTGCAAAAGGCTCCTAATTCATGCATACTGAAATAGAATAAGTAACATTTCTGCCTTTTCCACATCGTCATTTACACTAACACCTTTCTCTGATTTCAGTGAACTTACACTTTCATTGTTGTTTTTTTTTTAGAAGTTATGTCCTTAAAATGATTTTTGGGATTGGTTTTGCTCTCTTAGGCTATCACTTTTTCATTTTCATTTTTCATTATTGGCTTTCTCATAGTTTATATAAGATGCTTTTGATTTAGCTTCATATGTTTTATTTATTTGCATATCTTCCTACTAGGCCACATTGGTTTCATTTTGTTTCTTTTATATTTTTAGTCAGCGGTGTTTACTGAGACTGTGAAAGAATTTACTTTGATTCCAAGGTTCAAGCTTATACGTGTCATATTAGATATCCTATATTAAAATTAGCTAACTTGGACTCAGGAAATGCTTAATGCTTAAAATGACACTTAAGACCAAATATGTCTAGTTCTGGGAGCAGATAGCCCCCACTTGAGCTGTCTCTCCTAAATCAGTCTGTTCTTTTTCTTTCTCGGAACTTATCTGCTATATGTACATGACGTTCATCCGTATGTCTTATCTGTACTCCTTTCACTCCCTTCCTACTACAGTCCTATGAGTATTTGCATGTAAGCACTTACTTTCCAACACTTTATTCACTTACTTTTCAATGTATAAAAACACAACTGACAAAATAAAGGTCAGATGCTTATTTGATTACCAACAGGTGTCTGGTGTCTAATTCACGCTTCTCCAAGTGCACTTGAAATAATAATAATTTGGGCTCCATTAAATATACCAAAGATCACATTGGATGTAAATCATTTGGTGCCGAAACCCGGGAGCTGACGTTCGAAAGACTCGTACACTAGCGTACAGGTGGACGTCACTCTGACCGTGAAATCAGCTGCAGCAAGGTAAGGAAAACCTTTTTTCTACCTATATCAGTTTCGCTCTCAGATCCATGTCCTACTGGTCTGTCTGGGTAAGGAACGACTTAAAAAAAGTCAGATCCAAAGAACTTATTTTCTGTGGTATCATGGTTATATTCAGGTCGATGTTGTGTTATGTCTTGTGAAAGGAATCTTGAGATAGTGGAATATATCTGTGGATTTTCAAGTTATTTTTATTGTTTGTCTTGTCATTTGTTTTATAATTTGAGTTAGAATCCTCCAAGGGCAGATCTCCTGATCTGTGTTTAGAATAACGAAGACAAGACTGTGAAAATTCTATTGCAGTGGTCCTAAGTGTCTTATACACTGTTTTTGTCTTGTGTAAGGAAGTAATTAACCCTTACAAGTTTTAAGATGTGTAGCTCTCAAAGCACTCTGGAGGGTTTCACGGCTTTTACAATAGTCAAGCATCACAAAAGACGAGGAGCAATTAAGAATATTAAGAGGTTACTTAAGAAAGCTGGTATGCCCTCAGAGGGCACTCTAGACCCACATATATGGAGGGAATTTATGGAAAATTACAGAGGTTGGTTAGAAGATAATGACTTAGTAGAAGTCGCCCAAAAATGGCATTATACTGCAGTTGATTTAACTAAATGTGGTTGTAGAGAAACCACAAAATGGCATGATACTGCAGTTGATTTAACTAAATGTAGTCATAGAGAAACCACCAAAAACCACCATAAAATGTTTTGGACCACTAGGGACGCAGAGTAGGCAACATCCTGGGAAATCTAGGACTTTACTAATTAAGAAAATTTTGTACTTTTTGCTTTTAGCTGTATTTTTTTAATGGACATTTTTCTAACCTTTAGATTCTTCTCATGTCTAGTAACTTCTCTATGTAAAAACAAATCTACTGTTGGTCGTACCTTAACTTAGATTCCAGCTCCGACTTCAGAAGGTTTTTACAATGTTACCTCGCCTAACAAATGAAGAAACTCTCCTCAGTTGATTCTGGTGGTCTCTCAGTACAAGGGAAACCATGGTGAAGAAATAAATGAAAGTCCCACAGGCTTTGGCTAGCAGGCCTAGAAATACCTTGGACATTTGGGTGAGTCTTGGATCAAAAGAGGGGATTGTGAAATAATTTACTTTGATTCCAAGGTTCAAGCTTATAGGTGTCAGTGGCATGGTACTTAGTGGTGGTGTCCCGCCACAATGTCACATTAGATACCCTATATTAAAATTGGTTAACTTGGACTCAGGAAATGCTTAATGCTTAAAACAAGACTTATGACCATATATGTCTATTCCTCAATATATTTAATTATTTGGAATTTTATCTGTGACAAAGTGTTGGGGTACTGGTAGCTCCAAAAGATTAATACATATACTCTATTAGTGTTTTGAAAAACATAATGGCATTAATTGAATTGTCTCTGCTAAAAATATGTCCACATAGACATTTTAGTCTGTATAATGTACTATTAATCACAAGTGACAAAAGCATTCACTTTACACGTTTTTCCCTGTGTGTGGGTGAAAAAAGAATTCCCCACAAGTCATTGAAATGCATGAGTTGCAAAGTAGGCATGGGCCATTATCCTTCTTCTGCAGTCCTACAAATGTTATATGTGAAGGACCAATGAGAGATGGACCGTCAGCTCCTACATACTTGTCTCTCAGATCCATGTCCTGATGAAAGGACATGTCCTGATGAAAGTCCCCTTGCTGGGACTAAAATGTCGACCGATCTTTTAATATGTGCCAATACAAGTTATGTATTATTTTACTACTATTTTGAAGTCCTTTAAGTGTGGTTATTTCCCTGAATAATATATATATAAATTCAAAGTTCAATAGATCAACGTTTCGACCTATTCAGGTCTTTATCAAGATCAAGACCTGAATAGGTTGAAACGTTGATCTATTGAACTTTGAATTTATGGACACAGTAAACTGAACACTATTTAAATCCAGGAGTGCACCTAATTATTTCTTATATATATGTTTTCGCTGGTTCTGCTGCACCCTGGTATGTATCTATAATTTTTATTCTTAAGGAAGAGTGCCAAACCATCTCTATTTATATATATATATATATATATATATATATATATATATATTTATATTATATATAAAAAATATATAAATAAACATATACCACTCAACCCTCCTGAGTGGTATGTTTTTTCCTCATTCTTGGGTCCTCTACCAGAGGCCTGGGAGTTTGAGGGTTCTGTGCAGTATCTTAGATGTTCCTATGTTCCTAGAACTGCACTCTTCTGGACAGCGATCTCAGATGTCCCACCTGGAATCTGTTGAAGCCACTCCCCCAACTTGGGAGTCACAGCCCCGAGTGCTCCTATCACAACTGGGACTACTATTGCCTTCACTTTTCACATTCTTTCTAGTTCTTCTTTCAGTCCTTAGTATTTCTCCATGTTCCTTCTTCCTCATGTTATAGTCACTGGGTATTGCCACATGTCTGCAGTCCTCCGTTCCTTGTCTACCACCACGATGTCGGATAGGTTGGCCAGCACTTACTTGCCTGTATAGATCTTGAAGTCCCACAGGATCTTAGCCCTGTCATTCTCAGCTACCCTTTGTGGTATCTCCCATCAGGCAGGTCAAATACATATTCTGTGCAGATGTTTTGGTACACAATCCCAGCAACTTGGTTGTGTCTCTCTGTGTATGCTGTCCCTGCTAACATCTTGACATCTCTGCAGAACATGGCATGATGTGACAGGTAATATATGCTGCCAGAAAAAGAAAATTACAGTAAGTATGAATACATTTTCCACTTTCCTGGCTAATTATGGCAGTATATACAATTGGGAATACCCAAGCTTCAGAGGGACAGAAACGTAAATAACTGCCAAATAATCAGAACAATTCAACATAGATTAGAAGATTGAACTAAGTTAAGGACTCAATGTCCAAACTGCACATCATTGACTGCATTAACGGCAGCATGTAATGCTGGACAAACGTGTCCAAAGAGGTCCAGCTTAACAAAAAGGGGCAGCAGAGACCATTGTCATGGAAGTCCAAGATGCTGCAACTGCATGAGTGGAGAGTGTCCTGATACCCTTCGGTACAGGTAGAGAATGGCATTGATAAGCTTTCACCTTAGGCAGGATCTCTGGTGCTAAATGCAAGACAATCATATCCTGTTGAAAATTAGTGAATAGGGGTTCACAGAACAAAGCCTGGAGTTCACACATTCACCTTGCTGAGGTACTAGCCACCAGCAACAGCACTTCCTGTGCTAACATCATTGAAGCTCCTGCTAGAGGTTCGAATGATGGTTTAGTCAGAGCCTGTAAGACCACTGGTAGGCCACATATTGGCTTCAACACTTATAGAGATTTGAGATTAATCGCTGCTTACATGAAGCAAAGCACCAGGGGCTCCAATGCTCAATGGGTACCCATCAATGTGGAAAGTGCAGATATGTGCTTCTCTAGAGTGTTATAACTCAGACCCTCTCTAGGCCTGATTGAGGAGTATTTACAACCTCTATTCTTGAGACCAACAGACAAATACATGTCAAGCATTGTAATATGTAAAGTATTTATAGGACTGTAACAGGATCTTAATGACCGTCTCAGGGATGCCTATACTTATAGAGACTTCCACATCAACACCAGAGCTTGAGGATTTTGGTGTGTCAAGAGACCTTGTATTAGGTCTGGATGTACTGGAATTTCCCTTGGAGGTTCCATATTCATCTTACTCATCATAAGAATTTAGAGTCAATGTGGCCTTCCACTGTTTCCTTTTGAATTACCTTTAGGAAGGTTAAAAACAGGAAAAATATGTACATCAGACTGAAATTCCAAATTTGAGTGAGCGTATCCTGACCTTGAGCATCCTGGCCCTAAAATCTAGAAAAATGCTTCTGGACCTGGTAGCTCCGAGAAATGTCAATTAGATCTATGTAGGCTATCAGTAAAATCTGAGTCAACCCTGAGGATATGTCAGGACATAGTTGCCATTCCACTTTGTCCATAGTTACTCAGCTCAGGTAATCAGCCATCATTTTCTGAGCCCCTGGTTGTTCTTCTATGCCCTGATCATGGGCTGTAATTCCCTCATCAGTAAGTGGCTGTGTGACCCAACTTGATGATTGATTTAGGGTACAGTCGCATTGATATTTGAGAAAATTCGGACCCACTTGTTCTTCAGAAACCCTCTGAAGTGAAGAAGAGCCCTGAAAATGACTTGTAATTCCATAAAATTGGATGGTTATATCGTTCCTTCCCTTATTTACAGACCTTGTGTAACATGGTCCAGACAATGCACATCCAATCCTTATAAGCGTATAATTGCCCAATGAGGATCTGTTCACTGAAAACCCAGAGATATATTCTCTCTTTTCAGCTACCAGGTAAGGTGTAGCTCCACTGATGGTAACATCAACTTCCTATCTTAAACTGAGATAGGAAGGACCTTTGAGGAATTCTGAGATGCCATTGAGCCCATCTTACAAGGATTTCTTGCTGTTACCAAGCGAAAATAAAGAAACTGGAAGAAAAAACTTCCACAATCTGGGGAACTGTTCCTGAGATAGAGGAAATGCAGAGTATACAATTTCCCACCCAGAAATGTCATCCACTGAGCTGGTGTGAGACTGCTTTTCTTGATATTCATCAAGCAGCCAAACTTCAGGAGTTCTGAAAGAACTATATCCCTCTATGCACCTGCCTTCTGTGGGTCTGAGGCTACCAGAAGTAGATCATCCAGATTATGGAACCAAGTGGTGTACTGGACTCTCAATATCACTATAGGCACATAAGGTTCTTGGGGCTGCATGCAAGGTCGAGGGTGATGACGTAGGACATTTGTGACGCGGCCCGGTGGGGGGAGGTGGAGTAATGATGGAGTAATGGTGATCCTCTAAGGAGAACGTGGCAAAAAAAGTATGAGGAAATTTGATCCAACCTGAGCAACGAAACTCCCAAAATACCTACCTTATCTGTGAGATTGAGGGAGAGCTGTGGGGGGTCCTGGAGGTGAAGTCGAAATAAGGTGGAATAAGAAAGGGGAAAGTGAGAAATGCGTGGAGGTGCAGCAGAGAGTTGAAGTGGGTGATGAAGCTATGGTAAGACAAAAGGCATTCAAGTAAGTAAAAAACATTCACTTAACTGCAAGAGAAGGAATTAAGCAAATTCTGTACATGGGTTTGTCAGCAAACATCAGTTAAGCTCACCTTGTATTTAATCTGGATACATCTGTGTCATGAAAATTTGGTGCAAATGAAGGGAAAAAAGAAGAAGAGAGTGAAATAGAAAAAAAAGTTAAGTTAATAATCCCCTTTGGGGAAAAAAAACAAAGAAAACCAGGAAAATTCCAGTGGTTGAAAGGGAAAGCAAAGGAAGCGTATACTCAGTAAAGCCTGTCAATAGAGCATTTCTAAATTTATTTAAAGGAAATATGGTTGTGTGAAACTTCCAGTGAAAGACCCTTTGGAGAATTAGGAGGGGGTTTATCTCTAAAAGCTACATGTAGAGAGAATATTGAAAAAAGGGGGAGGGTGGAGCAGAATCTTCTCTTTCTTTCTTTTTTTTTTGCTCCCACCCTAACCTCTTCTTGTCTCTTTCTTGCCTTTACCTGTCATGCTGCGATTAGCTTCCTGGTGGAGCTAAATAACCATCATATTCATGCTGGAGGTTTTTTTCTGCCTGTCTTGGTATGATTGTGTTATATAAGTGTAAATTAAAAGTAAAATACAAAAAAGGGGGAAAGAAAAGAAATGAGACAAGATTAGAATATAAATTAATAATAATAATAATAATAATAATAATAATAAAAAAATATATGAGTTTGGGGAAAAAGGAGGGGGGATGAGAAAAAAACCAAAAAAAAAAAAAAACCATGGTTAAATTTTGCTCTATAAATGCCCAGGGTTTAAATTCACCCTTTAAAAGGCACAAATAATTAGATATGTTAAATATAGAAAAAATAGATATTGCACTTATTCAAGAGACACACTGTATCTCAACACAAAAAAAAATATTTATGTTAAAAAATATTCAAGGCTAATAATGTCATGTTATAATTAATAAAAAAAGTAGAGGCACTTTAATTTTAATAAGTGAATTGGTATCTTTTAAGATAATACATAAAGAGATTGATAAAGAGGAAAGATACATTATATTGAATTGTAAAATAGATAACGCACTCTTCACAATAGTTAATGTTTATGCAGCTAACACAAATGCAATTTCCTTTTTAAACCTTTTCATAGAAAAGGTAGACAAATTTGCCCAAGGACAACTATTAATGGGGGGTGATATTAATTTGATAAGTGACACACATTTGGACAAAAAAGTATAAGAAGGTAGAAGCATAAATAAGAAATTGCTATCAGAAGAAATAAAAAAAAAAATTAATTAAAAAAAATTATGATTTAATCAATATATGGAGAACTATAAATACAGGGAAAAAAAGATTTTCCGTTTTATTCTATACTCTTTAATTCCTACTCATGCATAGATTTATTTTTATCTACAACCTCTATCTTTTATGAAAACTTAAAATGTGAAATTTCAATTCCCACTTGGTCAGATCATGCGCCATTATTTCTTGAATTAAAACCAGGTAAAAATAAAGCTAGACAAGAAAGAAGACCTAATGAATCTCTTCTTAAACAAAAGTATATCATGGAAAGCTTGCAAAAAGAAATAAAAAATTATTAAAAAATTATTTCCATAAATCTCAAAGTGAATTACTTGGTGCGTCTTCAAGGCAGTAATTAGGGAGCACATAATTAAATTTGGTTCTAATGAGAAAAAAAAAGAGTTTACCTATCCAACAATTATATATCCATTTATCTGAATTAGAATGAAAAAAAAACAAAGAAAACCCAAAAATTCACAAATTAAGGATCAACTAAAGCTCAAAGATGTAAAACGAATGAATTGAAACTTCCTTTATTTAAAACAAAAAATGGTATAGCCAATGAAATAGGGCTAATAGAATGATGCCCAACAAGCTAAAAAAATCAAAAGAAAAAATATAAAATAGACAAAATAACAGAAAATGGGAAGACAATACTGGACCCAGTAAAAATAGGTGTTTCCTTTTCAATTTTTTATAAAATAAATTATATTATTTAGGCAAAAACATTTTTGGAGACATTTAATAAGTCCAATATATCTGATGTTGATTATGAAATATTAAACACTCCAATAACTCTGCAAGCAATTTCAAATGTGATTTAAAATTTAAAGACAAATAAAGCACTGGGTCCCGGATGGATTTTCTAATATTTTTTATAAAGTTTTTGAAAAGGATCTGGAAAATCATTTTGATCTATTTAGGGAAATTGGAGAAGAAGGGAAAATGCCAAGAGAGATGCTATTAGCAAACATATCTCCCATCTTGAAGCCTGGTAAAGAAAAAACATTAATTAAAAATGTCAGTCCAATCTCTCTTATGTATATAGAATATAGAATATAGAATGCACACTATAACAATCTCAAAAAAAACTTTGCTTTATTATGTACAAAAAAGTACCAGAGTGAAAACATATAAGAAAAAATAAACAAAGTGACAGAAGCAAGGGCAAACACAATAAAACAATGATAAATTACCACAAAAATTCTTACAAGCCTCAAGACAGAAACACGAGTCACCAAACCCCCCAACGTTTTGGCACCAACTGGCTGCCTTTATCAAGGGTACCTTCTCTCTTATAAATGTAGAGTCCAATCTCTCTTATAAATGTAGATACCAAGATATATTCATCAGTGTGGGCAAAAAGATTTTAAAAAAGTTATCTACAAGTTAATAAATAAAGATCAATCAGGTTTTATCCCAAAAAGAAAATCAGATGGTAATATAAGAAAAATAATGAATATAATGTTTATGGCCCATAGTCAAAAATGATCCCTTCTGACCATATCATTGGTTACTGAGAAGGCCTTTGACAGGCTCAGTTGGGTATTTCTAAAAGAAACATTAAAGAAAGTTAATCTGGGGGAGGTATTTTTTAAATCAATATGGGTTTTATATAAAAATCTGCAAGCCTGTTTCCTAGGTTCAGGAATAAGATCTCCTTGGTTTAAAATATATAATGGTACAAAACAAGGGTGGCCTTTGGCTCCAAAGTTATATGTACTCTCATTGGAGCCTTTTGCTCAAACAATTAGGGACAACCAATAGATAAAAGGAAACAGAGTGGGAGAAAGTGAGTTTAAATTACCAATGTACACTGATGACATTTTTTTAACTTTAGAAGATCCAATATTATCAGTATGGGAACTTATAAAGTAGATACAGGACTTTTCTGAAATATTCTATAAAATAAATATCGATAAGTGCTAATGGGAAATATAAAGGAGGGTTATAAAAAATATCTTCAAGAAACATATAAATTGCAATGGAAAGAGAAAACAATGGACTAACTAGGGATAAAAATTTAATTATTAATCCTTGTCAAATAAATGTAAAAATAAATTAAAAGAATGGAAAAAAATTACCATTTCATGGATAGGCAGAATAGAAACAATTAAATATTATATACTACCTAAACTTACATTTCTTTTCAGATCTATTCCATTAGAGTTCATAAAACAGTATTATCTGAATTCCAAAAGATATTTAATCAATTTGTTTGGAACTATAAGAAACCGAGAGTTGCATTCAAAATATTATCTAGAACCATGAAAGAAGGTTGTTTAGGTCTTCCAAATATAAAAATAATCCATGACTCAATTATGTTATCTCATGTAGTAAAATGGTGCAATACAAATCAAGCCTCACAATGGTTAGAATTAGAAAATAATGCGCTAAATAAAAAGGATGTGAGAATCATTCTATGGTCAAAAGAAATAAAGGATGTAATGGATAACCTTATTTTAAACTATTTAAGCTTTGTTTGGAGAAAAATAAAATCAAAACATTTAGCAATGTATGAGCTGAAATCCTATATTCCATTAATTATCATGGGAATTCTTCTAAGTGATATAAGTTTAAAATCTTGGAGTAGACAAAGAGATAACTAATTTATATCAGATAATAAAGGAACAAGAAGTTGAACCCTTTAGTCAACTTTACCAAAACTTCAAACTCCCATCAAATTAATTTTATAATTCTTTAAGATTGAAAATGTATCTGGAAAAGGAGATACCGAGGTCTCAAAAAAATAAGAACAAAAATATAAATTTCACAAAACATGTTACACATAATGTAAATCTTTTAGAAATATATTTCAAACCTCTATTCCGGTGGTATTTGACTCAAATTCATTTTTTTTTTAAAATTCAAAAGTCACTATAGTGAAATATGCTGGAGATGTTCTAGTGAGGTAAGTTCCTTTATTCATTCATGGTGGGAATGTAAGGATATTGAACAGGCATGGAACACATTATTTCTTATCCTTTCAAAATTAGCAGAAGGGAAATTAGATCAAATTTACCATTACCGTATATACTCGAGTATAAGCCGAGTTTTTCAGCACATTTTTTGTGCTGAAAAACCCCAACTCGGCTTATACTCGAGTCAGTCTGTATTATGGCAATTTACATTGCCATAATACAGACTGGGGGCTGGCAGAGCTGTTACTTACCTCTCCTGCAGCTCCTGTCTGCTCCTCCTCCTCCGCGCCGGTCCGTGCAGCTCTTCTCTCAGCTCACACTGTAAGTCTCGCGAGAGCCGTACTATGACCCCGCGGCTCTCGCGAGACTTACACTGGGAGCTGACCGAGGTGCTGCACGGACCGGCGCGGAGGAGGAGAGAGCTGACAGGAGCTGCAGGAGAGGTAAGTAACAGCTCTGCCAGCCCCCCTCCTCCCCCCACTGAACTGCCAATGCCACTGGACCACCAGGGAAGGAGAGCCCCCCTCCCTGCCATGTATCAAGCAGGGAGGGGGGACAAAAATAAATATAATAATAAAATATTAAAAATAATAAAATAAAAAATAACAAAATATTAATAAAACAAAAAAATTATTAAAATAATTAAAAAAAAATAATAATAAAAATGCCCACCCCCCACCAAGGCTCTGCAACACACACAAACACACACACTGCATTCATACACACACACTGCACTCATACACACACACACTGCACTCATACACACACACACTCAT